GCCACCTTACTTCTCTTGTAACAAAGAACACCACAGAGGTGTCCAGATTTGGTGTCACCACGCAGAATCTCTCCTTTACCTGATCCTTTCACGTTCAGAAATTGTGAAACGACATTTGATATTTGTCATTCCCTGACCCTACGTACTAAGCAACTTGGAGGAGTAGCTCACTGGCTAGTAGCTCACGCAGGCACATGGAAGTGGCAGCAGGTTAGTGACACACATCAGAGGAAGTGATTGACTAAGCAGAACAATACAAAGCAGTACAAAGCTGTAAGGTATTTCCCTTAACTACGTTTGTCAGGTTAGGGAAATCTTGGTGAATCTCCTGGAGACCTGCGAGGAAAGCAAAGTTGTACAAATTCATTTCATTGCTGCAGAAGAATCAGAACTTTACCTGGAGAGCCTTCCTTTGTAGTCACTATGAAACTTTCAGTGGCACATCTTGACCACCACAGAGACATGTGCAATACAACCAAAAAAGACTGCATGATTTTTCTCGATCTGGCATAAAGCCACTAAAACAATCTGTTCGGCAGGCATTTTTTCCATATGGACAGGCCTTCAACTCTTTCAAACCCAATGCAAAACCTCTTGTTGATTCCAAAAGGACTGGGGTCACATCCTAATGGTATTCAAAAAGTACATAAGCTGGTTGGAGTAGATATTATGTCATCTTTGGCACTATATGGTGTCCGTTACTACAGCACCTTAACACTTTATAGACTGCAGTGCAATTACACTAACGGCATCCTTAGAATCATAGAATCATGGAATAGTTTGGGTTAGAAAAGACCCTAAAGATCATCTAGTTCCAATTACCCTGCCACAGGCAGGGGCAACTTCTACTACATCAGGTTGCTCAAAGCCTCATCCATCCTGGCCTTGAACACTTCCAAGGATGGGGCATCCACAACTCCTCTGGTAGTTCCTTCCATGTGAACAAAGACATAGTTATTAACTTCATTTCAGAGACAGCAGGCTGAAGTGCACAGAAATACGTGTGGGTTGGTAAAAGGGCTGCTACTGAGCCATCCAGATCCAGCCACACATACAGAGTAGCTTTAAGAAAGACGTATGAATCTGGCAACATCTCTCTGTGTTCACAAAGAATAAAGTGGTTTTAGGTTCCAGATGGGAGCACAGCCAGGACAACCAAATGTCCTTAGCCTGCAGAAACCACTGCACTTGGGAAAATTGTCTGGCCACTTGCATCAGCAATGCTTTACTAAAAGATGTCAGACCAAGTACCCATAGCCTGTTATGGGCTTGGGAACTGCAGTCTATGTTTTATTTAAATAAAACCATTCTACTGTCTCCTATAACAAGCAGGGTGGATATCCCTGTAAGCAACTTCTAGCATCTACAGTCTTTGCAGCAGTTGAAAAGGATTTTGAAAACATAAATGATGCTTTAAAAATGGGCATAGGTCCACAAAGGGACTTGTGAACCTAATTCTAGCATTTAGTTAAGAAGCCTACTTCTGAAGAGTGCCTTACTCCCATCAAATCATGACTTCAATTAAATTATTGATGACCTGATGTGCAAAGGTTAAAATAAATATAACCAAAATGAATGCCAGCAAAAGCCATCATCTCCCAAACCATAATTAAGAAGGCTCGTCACAGGTAATAGAAAATCTTTGCGGTGTTCCCAGTTCCAACCTTTTATTTTTCTCCTGGTTAACGAATATTGTCCTCAGATAGTCCATGTTTGTTTCACTATTAGAAATTTTTGACCTTCAGGAGAACACACCTGACGCACATTTTACGTGTAGCCTCCTCTTCTTGTGTTCTCATTCCCATCTGTTAGGATGGCTTGGCACCGTCTCATACGTTGGATAAATCTTGCTGTAAGAAAAAGCACAGGTGCAATGGAGGCATCATACATGGATATTGTGAGATTTGCCAAAAGGTTTATACTGTCACAAATACACATGGGAAAAAAAACAAAACAAAACAAAAAAAAAACCCACCAAAACTTGGGCAGAAAGAAGTTTTGTAACTGAAAGAGTGTTTTAATTCAAAACTGTTCCTGAAGGAAATAAGGAAATACAGCTCTAACTGCCTACTCATTGAGTGCAAGATCATCCAACAATATGATAAAATAGAAAATTTCACTTATTAAAACATTTAAGGACCAGATTATAACTGTTTTCCTCCGAACATATCTTCTCCTGTCCACAGTGTTGGCCTGATGTGATTTTATCATGTTTCTAGTAGGATTATTCACAGAGCATGGTGCTGTTCTGTGTGATGAATGACTGCAGAACTGAACAAATTAATATAAGAGAACAAATCAAATTAACATAAGAGAATATCACTAATTAAAAGGATAAATATTTGATAAAAAATCTGGGAGTGGCCATATGCAATACATGTAACAAAGGGTGACTAAATTAAGCTAATAGATTTGGAGGAGATCATCATCACTCAAGCTTTCTTTTTGTGAATAAAATTATATAGTCAGGGCCTATCCAGTGTAAATACATGTATGTACTTCTCAGGTATCTACGCATATCTCGGGTTGCCTCTGGTTTCTGAACCCAGACTGCACTATCCTTATATTGTTCAGTTTCTATATAAATTTCCCACTACTATCAATGCAATCATATCTGTAATGGCTTTCGCAGCAACTGAAAGACCATGTAACTCAAAAGTCTCTCTTCATCCTGGCCAGCAATGTCACCAGTCTTGCACTCTGTGTCTGTCGCAGTAGCTAATAGATCATGTTCAGGGAAGGCAGGACAAATGTATGAACAGGTACCAGCAAGGTATGACTCTAGGTGCTTCTTGGGATGCATTGGTTGTGTTCAGCAGCATTGCATAGCCCTCACGTGAATGCAGGATGCAAAACTTATCTCACTGTGGACATATTCCAGATACAAATATGTAATTGGCTGTGTTTGCATTAACAATTATTTCACTTGTGTACATCTCTCAAAGCAAGGGAAAAAAAAGCCAAAAACAACAAAGCAACGACAAAAAAAAAAAAAATCCACTTAGCTTCACAGAATGTTATAAATTCATTCCAGTTCTTGGGTAACCATTGTTGGAGAGAATGTTTTTGTTGGTCATATTCTGAGCATTTTCATGTAAAATGCGGGAAGTTTCTCAAATTATTCCATATGTCTGACAGTGCTAAAATTGTGATGTTTTATCTGTTCATCATCTTGGAGCAGTTGTTACAAAATCTGAATGTGTGATGAGGCACTTAATTATTAGCTGATAAATATTTCACAAGTATAATTGTTTTTATAAAATAGCAGTTCAGGTAACTAATAACATGAGGGAAAATTCAGATGCTTCCCATATGAACTGCTCTCTCATTATGGAATTATATCCTGTGCTGGTAGTAACATTAACCTGTTTTGTTGGAGAATTTCATAGAACTAGAGGTAGACTGGTGCCTAAATGGTAACAAGATGAGATTCTTTGAAACTACTGGTTCATCTCTTAGCAGTGATTACTTGGTCATTCACCTACTGAAGTCTGATGACAGCAATACAGTTGCTGCTTCACATTTGATTTGCTGTGCTTGTGCTTTCAAAACTCACGATCTTCAACAGAAAAAGACCATATTTCACAGGAATGTGAGACTTGCTGTAAGGAATGGTGTCACACTCCTCCCTCTCCTCTCTTGTGCAGATGGGTTGCTGTTGCTCATCACCACGAGGCAGTCAGACCTCAGTGTTTCACCAGCTGAAGTTCTGTGCATTAATTAACAAGGCGTTAACGCTGACCAGTGCTCACTCGTTGCTAAAATCTGCTTTCCTTCTGGGCAAGTAAGAGTGTTTATGGTGTTGCCAGTTCCAGGTCACTCGTCCTGTTGGAAATTCCACTAGCAGTAGCAGAAGATGATATTTATCTCATTGGAAATCCTGGCTGTGATTGACCACATTTGAACATGAATTGCAGAGAATAAGAGGCTTCTGAAGAGAAATGTGTAGAAATCCTGCCATTTGGTATTTGTCACTTCTCAGTTCATTTTTCAGTGTCTACAGGAATGGGGAAAACCAGACTTGTAGCCTTAAAAATTAGACAAATATAACTATGTTAATGTGCGGCTTTTAATACTTCTTTGGCAGATAATGGAGGTCCCTGGTCTACCCTAGGGCCTACAACCAGAGAAAATAATTATGAGAAGAAATTTCATATGTGCTAAAGGCAATTTCATTGTGTAAAATTAGAGGACTCCGTATAAATCCTTCAGTAGAGAAGTTTTAGAAGCCAGAAAACTGACATGGTTTACAGCCATTGGCTTAAATTAGTGCACAATTCTCCTTGAAGTTGCAAACACTTTAAAATGAGACAGATAACAGTGTAGAACAGATATACTGAAATTTAAATTAGGATCACACATTTAATTACTACCTATTAATACTTTAATCTACATTTTTATTTATATATTATAATAGGTAGCTATTAAATAACTTTAAAATCCGTCATTTCAACCCCAAAACACACTCCCCAAAACACAATCACAGTTGTGGAGCAATCTTAGTGTGTGTACCCTATTGTAGACTGTATTCGGTTTGATAGGTGTTCTCCTCCCTGCAGTTTTCATGAATACTTTATTTGATATTACTTACATTCAATACAATAGCTAATTTATATATATATATATCTGAGCTAAAAATTAATCAGAGAACAAAGAAACTGTCTCCTTAGGTCCACACAGCACTAGCTGATGTAAATCTGGGGTGAACACTGGAAAAAAAAAAAATGGAATGTTACCCACCTTCATTACTTCATTTCGTTCTGCAGTTAACTGCGGTGGTCCTGCCTGTGGCACAACTGAGGACAACATCATGTGGCGTGTGCTCTAAGTGTTATTCACTCGTAACAACCTAATTAGAAGTTTTGGCAGCACAGACGCAGCAAATTCTAGTAACATTTCTGTAATAACCCCTGTTCCTGGGATAGGGCACACCCAAAACCCCCTCTACATTGCGTAGCAGACGTCTCTGGTTTAATGCACTGGAGCAGTTTCTGGAGTGAGTGGTATTTGTTTGCTGAACCTTTTCTAGCAGAGTTTTGAAGCAGATGAGGCGGTGTAGATTGACTTTGAATTTTAAGACCTATTTGTTCCTGTTGGATTTGGTGACCTATTAGCTGAACATCACTGCTTTGTTGAAATTAACCTGTTTAATTCTTCCCTTTTTTTAAGGGTAGAGAACATGGCCATGCGACTGGAAGAAGTAAATGAGCGAGAGCACTGCATGAAGGCTTCTCTGCAGACCGTTGACATCAGGCTTGCTCAGCTGGAAGATATGATGGGACGAATGGTGACCGCCTTAGAAAAACTGACTGGCATAGAGAGAGGTGAGACGACCAAGATACGATCCAGGACCTCATCTGACTGTACTGATGCAGCCTACATTGTGAGGCAGAGTAGCTTCAATAGTCAGGAGGGAAACACCTATAAGCTTCAAGAGAGCATAGATCCCACAGGAGAGGAGTCCATGTCCCCAACGTCTCCTACAATCACGCCTCGCATGCGAAGCCACTCTTTCTATGCAACAAATATAAAGGACAAGTGTGGGTTGGAAAAATTCGAAAGCATTTTTAAGGAAAGATCTCCAAGCCTGCATCGGGCTATCAGTTCGCACTCAATAGCAAAAGAAGGAAAGGTTCCCTTAGCCCCTACCAGCACTTTGTCAATTGCCCCAGACTCCAGAAGGCCTTCATCTTGTATAGACATCTACGTTTCTGCAATGGATGAGATGCATTCTGACACAGAGCCTCTCGACAGCTCCATAAATATCCTTGGTACCGGCGATGCAGCTCTGCAGGCTCACATAGCCTCTTCCATTTTAGCTAACAGTGCGTACATTAGCAGTACACCTGGCGAAAAAATTTCTGGCAGGAGTCTTGATTATGAGGAAACCTCTGGAATAGAAACAAGAGCATTTTCTTCAGACTATTCACAAATCACAGATTGCCAAATCCCCTGGGATTCAGACCCTCCTTTGTATCACACTTTAGAGCGATCTAAAAGCAGTCGTTATCTGGCTACTACTCCATTTATTCTGGAGGAAACGCCGATTGTGAAGTCTCACAGTTTCATGTTCTCTCCATCTCGAAGCTACTTCAGCAGCCTTGGTGTCCCGGTCAAAACAGCAGAGTACACAAGTATTACAGACTGCATAGACACGAGGTGTGTGAGTGCTCCCCAGGCCATCGCAGAGAGGGCCAGTTTCCCTGGAAGTCTCGGGGGCAAAGTGGAGGACTTGGGATGCTGCCACCCAGAGAGAGAAGCTGAACTAAGCCACCCGAGCTCTGATCATGAGGATATTGAGGCCAAAGACAAGAAGGGGATCCCCTTATCTCCTCAAGACGGCAATGCTACAAGAACTCTGGCCAACAGCATCCCACTTCCAAAAATAGAGCGGGCCAACAGCTACTCTGCAGAGGAGTCCAACATGTTGTATGCACAACACACACGGAAGAGCTACTCTATCAGCGACAAACTTGACAGACAACGAAATGCAACAGGCCTGCGAAACCCTTTCCAGAGGAGTAAGTCCTCCAGGCCAGAGAGCAGAGGGGACAATCTGTCCATGAGGAGACTGTCAAGAACGGGAGCCTTCCGCAGCTTTGAAAGCAAGCACAGCTAGGCCTAGTCAAAGCTTACTGGCAGTCTATGGGTCATCTGCTCTCCAGTCCATTTTTCTTAGCAGAATTAGAAAAAAAAACAAAACAAACAAACTCACATCACCCTGTGTCAACTCCAGTTGGCATTAGCCACTGGCCAAGGGAGCACGTTGTCAGTCTCAGCATCGCCCACTGAGTTACTGCATCTTGACCCGGTTGACATTTGCACTTAAGGAAAAAGGGAGGGATGAAAGCTTTACAAAGACTTCAGTAAACAACAGGAATAACAAGCCCCCTTTAAGAAGTCACAAGAAATAAATAAGTAGGTTCCGAAATCTGCCTTTTATTAGAAGGCATCCTAAGATCTGTGATCATTATTCAAGTTTTCAGGATGCAGGAATTAACTGGCAAAAAGAGATGTACAAATTAGAAGTTCTAAACTTCAATCACAACTTCTTTTCCATCTGTTTCACCGTCGTGATGACTGATGAAAAGCACTTGTTATTTCTGTAGCAACTGGCAGCGAACAAACCTGAAGTCTCTCAAACCCCTTGCGTCCCATACTTGTGGAAATGAAGAAAGATGAACAAGATAACAACCATAACATTCACTTGTCTCTTTTTGTATCAACTTCTAGTGCCACAAAAAGTTTATATTTTCAAGAGCAGAAAGGGAAATGAAATGCCTTTTGTATTGCAACTTAAACGGAGGAAGAATTTATGTTAAAATATCAGGTGATTTCCTGTATGAAACAGGCATTCTAGATTCTAGCACAGCTGAGCAAGCTCAGGATGAATGTAATTAAGTGGAATAGTATATATTTATTTTTTTACCACATTTGTCATCAATATGTTGTCTCACTAAATTTGTGATTGAACAGTAAGAACAGGGTGATTAGAGCAGAGCACAGTGATATTGTCAGGTTCTCACTGCTCCTTTTAATTGAGCATACAAATTGGGGAGATTTATCCATGAGGTTGCTACCAGGCTCTTCTTGCTGTTCCATTTGAGCTGCCGATTTTCACATCATTCTCTCACCTAAAAATATACACCTTTGTTTTTTTTTTTCATGAGGATGTGGCCGTATTTGAACATTTCAAAGTATAAAAGATTTATCAAGCAGTATGAATCCAGATTAATGCAATTAGACTCAAGTTGCTTAAGGGAAAATGTTCTTGGCAGAGGACTGGAAAACACTAAAAAGTGCATATGCTTTTAAGGTAAGTTAAAGCACCAAAGTGAAACTGCACATGTCTGTCAACAGCGAAAGCCATCAGTTGTGACTAGGTTTCCACCGTTCAGCAGCGTATCACACAACTTGCATTTTAGCAGGAGAAAGTATATCTGAACGGTAGCGCAGTCATGGGTTTTGGTTGAAGACAGTTGTAACTTCACTGACCCCACCCATGTTCCAAAGGTCCACGATGTCAACCAGAGTTTCAGATTTCTCATGAGAAGATACCACAGTGGTCACAGGTGGAAGGGTATGCAGAAGATAGGAAAAGGGTGGAGAAGCGTAAACTGCAACTGGATCAAAATTTCACATCCTTTATGAAGCACAACTTTTAAACTTGTAAAGAGTTGAAGCTAGTGCTATTAAAAGTTAAAACATCTCTACAATGACCAACATCTGTGTAGAACCAGCTCCTTTTTGTTACTAAAAATGAACACATGTGAGCGGGGTACATACTTCCCATTGTTTAAATGGGAATTATCTTCCAAATCTCTAAGGCAGCTTTGAAAATGCAGGCTGACGTTCTCTCACTGGGATGTCACCCTGGAAGACTCTGAGCACCGTATGAGAGCTAAGTCCGAAAGGCAACAAATCCAGACATAAAAATAACCATCAGCCTCAAGAAAAGAGGCAAAGAAGGTGAAAACACTTAGGTACCGAGTCACTACGTTGGAAAGTTTAGGAAATAAAAGAAATGCAGCATGGGGACTTTGAGCACAATGTGTTTCATACTTCCTGCACCAACGTGTTCCTTGCGTTCTTCTATTCGATCAGGCTTTCAGTGAGCTGAACTCCACCAAGACACCGCGTTTATGCAATTGCCTTGCAGCCCATGTGCAGCGTTACAGTCACATGGCAACACCGAGAAAGGTCAGAAACCTTTCTGTGCATTATGAAGCATGCTTGTGACAGGCTGGTTGTTGAACAATAGCAAAACGCCCAGGGGCAAAGGAACTTGTGTTTAACAATCTGCTTCAAACGTGCCAACTTTTGTTAGCAGCCTTTTCCTAAGGCTTCTCCAAATCTATCTATCCTTGGTGAGTAGAGGGGGATATTCTCACTTTGTTTTCTTTGTTACTTTTACGAATGTCTGCTAAAACTGTTCGTGGACTCTTCCACCTTCACCGTATTACTGGCCTACTCTAGAGGAACTTCAGATTCATTAGAAAAGCCTCAACAGCACTTAGTGAATTAGTTCAAGACATAGGGCTCTCCTCTGGGGTAGATTTCATTGCTTAGTTTGTCAGGGTAAAGGAATTTGCCAAACCCAGAAGCTGTATAAATGTTTAGGATACAGCACTTTATTGATCTGGAGCACACATTCCAGGTAAAATGGAACAGGACACTTTATTTACCTCTTAAAATTTGCCATTATATATAAAATGTAAATTCAGATGTTAAAAGTGTGATTGCAAGATGTCAGAACGCTACTTTTCCTGACTATTTCCCATTTATTCTAAAATGTGGTGTCTATAGAATATATTATGATGGGTGTTAGATTATTTTATCTTCACTTGGTTTTTACACATTGCATCAGACTGCTTCTTTTTGAATTTGGTGGTAAAACACCCATTCCTTGCAAGGGGACCAGATTTCCCACTCGCAATATTATTATGACCATTTAGTGAGAGTAGAAGTCTTATCATCCATCATCATGTAGCTATAGCATGAGCCATACGACATACTCTGTATCAAAGGATAGCTTATGAAATAGATATATATACACACATATATACATATCTCCCATATATAAACCAGTATAGTTGTGACATGTGTTAATATTAGTGAACGTTACAGGACAGTTTTAATATCACGTTACAAGGTCTTGTTTGTAAATCTGTAACATTCAATAAAATAGCACATGTTGCATCCAGCATTAAGTTCCACTATCCAACGATTAGCTTACGTATGGAACATGCATTTCTGGTCACAGTGCGTAAGTTTGGTATGTTTCACACATTTCTCTGTATAGGTCCACTTAAATGTCTGTATGAGCTGATGTATAAACCTCTAATGAGCCACTGTGGGCTGTGACAGGTGAGTTGTGACAGTGTGAAAGATGAACTGGCATGTTATGCAAGAGATTATAAGATAAATGAACTTTAATAATATTTTGAAACTCAACTGAACTTAGCTGTTTGTTTACATATGCTGGCCGACTGAGGAAGCGGTGTACAGTATTTTTAAAATATTTTCCTATAGTAATCCGTTCTGTTGTTTCCAGTTTAAGTGATGCTATTCTACAGTTGGGGTATACACTTGTCCTAGGTATTGGATTATAGCACATTATTCTTTCACAATAACAGTGTGATATGACTGAAGTAGTTTCTCTTCCTTACAGTCCAGTCTTTTTTTGTGTCAATGAAAATGCATGCATTGTTCCATGAGTTTCTTTGGACTACTATGAGACTTAACATTTTGCTATTGCCTGCCTGTAAAGATGAATCCAGTTAGGAACGAATTCAAGCTTTTGGATGTTTACATTATTTCCATTATGTTTGATCTTTAGCAAAGTAAGTGATTTTTTTATTATTTTTAAATTACAATTGTATTTTATGAAATTGAAATATTCAACACAAAATGCGAACCTACAGCAGTGCTCAGACATTTGGCTCTCTCTTTTTTTGGAAGAGATAAGGTGCTACATTATTGTTCTTAGCACAAGTGCCAGTTAACAAATGGCAGTGAGGGGATAATTTGAAAATATAATGAAAAACCAAAACATCCATTCATCCACATAAGGAAATCCCTCTGGGTTCCAGATACAGATTGCTTTTTTTTTTTTTCATTTGCCATTTATAGATTTTTTGGTAAAAAAAAAAAAAATATTTGTACCTTTTGTGGAATGGATAGCCTTTTGTCAGGGGATAAATATCTTAGTTAGGTGTATTTTTTGTATGAGAAGAAAACGATTTGTTTCTTAGAAACTGTCAGCGCATGGAAAATGCAACTACACAAATAACTGCTCAAAAAAAAGTGCTGGTAGCAGCACACAGCCTTAGTCCAATGACTGCAGTCGGAGCAAACAAGTATCTGTCCTGAGAGTAGAAGTCTTCAAAGGTATTATCTTAGAGTGAGCCAGTGAAACAAAATTCTCTGTAAACTTATGGTGCAAATTTTCAAAACAAGCATAAATGTCTTGTTATGTTGCTCAGGTTATATACTTAAGAGGATCTGATAATCACCAGGAAGGAAAAATGTGAGCTGGTCATTCCTGGATCTCCCTGGGAATACTTAAGTAGTTGTGATATCTCTCCCCTGCTTAAAAATAATATTATGTTTGCATTTTTGCACAAATATACACAATTGTTTCAACAAAGGCCACATTTTTCAGTTGTGTTAAAAGATACCAGGCATAGAGCACCTTCTTCAAAAGAAATGGGAAAGCCTCCTAGCAAGCATTTTCCCTCATGCACCTCAAGTAAAAGCACAGTCCAAACTGGGTAGAAGCAAAGTGTTGGGGGTGTCCACTTACCTAATGAAACCCTTCACTTCCCTAGATGGTCTTCGCTAGCCTTGCCACGCGTTGGCATACGAGCAGTAGTGCTGAACGCGGAGGGACAGAGATTCTGCACCCCAGTGAGAGTTATCCTGCTTTACAGCCAAGCACAGGGTGAACACTACAGGTCACGCAGGCTCCTCTTCTCCGAGATTGACTACGATTATGGTCTTACTGATGCTGGTGCAAATCTGCAGAAAATCCACTGATTTCAATGGAGCACTCTGACTTTTGTCAGAGGATGGATTTATTCTGCGTTTCTAACTCTGTGTTACTTTGAGTCGTGGCAC